GCCCTGTTGCAGTGCTGGAAAACTGCATTCGAGAGCAAAGTTGATTGGAGAAAGGAGGTCCCTGCATGTAGAATTCATTCCAGGGGACAGCCTGGTAGGCCGCAATACCCGCTGGAAAAAACAGAGAAGTTGGAAGAGATAACGAAAGCGAGATAATACACTTTATTTAGATAGCATCCCTAGTCAGAGGATTTCAAAGGGATGTACCTGCCTTGTCAGAGAGCCAAAACTAAAAATGCATATTTCTGGGAGCCAAGTAAGATGTGTCCAATGCAAGACAATATTCCATTACAGAAATGTATAGCAATGTATTGCAATAAAAGAAAGGCTGACTTTGTGGTTTGCAATAGAGATGTTAAATATAGATTAATTAACTAATCGACTAGTCAATGTATTTTCCATTGACTAGTTGAGAAGTATTGGGAATAATTCTTGGACACACTGGGTGCTGGTGAAAACAAGCAGAGGATTTATTGAACATACAGCGCTGGTGGAGTGCGGATCAGGGGGTTAGTCCGGAGAGCACTAACTTAACCAAAACATGCATTAGATTATATAGGTAGTAGATGGATGGAGGAGAAGGATTTGATAGGTCTAGCAGCGAAAGCGAGATATGCATATAAGCCAATGGTCTACGACAGTTACACAGCATCTCCGCCCATTACCAATTTAACATGTTATCACTAATATAGGTAGTTATTCCTAACAAGCTAAATAAGCCAACATAAACAAAGGCATGTTGATAGTCATTTTGTCGGCTGGAAATATAATGCGTCTCCTGCGGGGGTGGTATTGCCTTGGCATGATCTTTGGGATTCAAGCTTATTTTCTAGGAACAAAGAAGACAATGAAAAACAATCCCGCGCGGTTGTTTGGTACCGGCCTTATCAAAGTGAGGCCCTTTTGGAATGTGGTTGCCAGGGGAACCAGGGTCACAGTAACTGCTGTACTGTACGCTTCTCAGGCTTGGCCTGATACTTTCAGATTTGAGTTTGTCAGTTCTCAGCAAAATACCATGGGCTGCCTCAATTTACCCTACAAGAAGCAGGGTTAGTTCCTGAGTCCAGGAGCTAACCCCGCTGCAGCTTTGCCTTTTAAATGTATTAAGAGCCTACCAGCTTTTAATACATTTAAAAGGTTGGTACATAGTGGGGGGGACCCAGCACAAACTGAGCCAGCCGATTCCTGGCTTGCACCAGGTACTCCCTGCTGTGCTTTAGCCGGACGACTCTTAATACATTTAAAAGGCTAAAGTGCAGCAGTGGGGACCCAGCGCAAGCTAGGAATCAGCTGGCTCAGTTCAGGCTGGATCCCCCCCCGATGCACTTCTGATTTTTAAATGTATTAAGAGCCAGTAGGCTCTTAACACATTTTAAAAGCAGAGTTGTAGCATTTGGAACTGGGCTCGAGCCAGAAATCAGCTGCTTCCCAGCTTGTGCCTGGTCTCCGCTACTCCCCTCTTCCCCTCTCCAAGAGGGTGCTGGGGGGAACTGGCTTTTAAGCTGACTCACCCCAGCACTGGCTTCTGCTCCCCTTCTTGCTGCCTCTGATAGAAACATCAAGGGGGGGGGAGGGATGTGACTAGATGAGGGACTAGTCAACTATCAAATAAGCTTTTGCTTATCCGATAGTCGACTAGTCACTTACATCTCCAGTTTGCAGCATAGTAAGTGTATACAACCTAGACTAGATAGGAGGCAAAACTCAGGGGCAGAATGATTAAAATGTGAAGAGCGCTATGTAAAAATGGCACTCTCGTCCAAGAGTCTGTTCCTCCCGTGCCTTCAGTGAGTTAAGTGGTAAAAATAAAATTCTTGTATTTTTCCACTCAAGATGAGAAAAGTTTGAACTGAGCACAAAGAATAACTGCCTTGGGCAAAGGGGGTATAAAGATGGGAAACCAAAACAATAGAGGGAGTGGCCAGATACCAGGAGACCCTGACTTCCTCACTCAAGAGGCCTGCTGGAAACATCTCAGTGGGAACAGGCAGAAGGATTAGGCCCAAGCTAGGAGGCTGCCTACTTGTGAAAGAGATGATTTGAACTACTTTTAAGGTGAGAACTTACATGTAACAAGTTTCTTAATGTATTAGTCTTAATGGCATGTTTTGTTTATTTTGACTCAGTAACTCATCTGTCTGGTTTTTTCATTTGCATTCACTTAAATCCTACTTTTTACACTTAATAAAAACACTTTTTGGGATTTTGGTCCTTTTTGAAGATTGTGTTCCTGGATGCTGTCAAGGCCCTATAACTGAGCCTAGCTGAGCTGAACTGGTTCAGCATCTGTGTTACTTTGCTTGGGGAGGAAGAAGGCGGGGCTATTACCCCAACTGTGTGCTTTAGCTGGAGAAGACCAGAGCTTCTGGCACAGCAAGACAGGATGATGGGGAGCCCAGAGAGCAGGTGGGGGGGCAAGATCAGCACACCAGGTGACAGCCCTAAGGGAATATCTCTGATCAAACCTTTTTCCATGCACTAACCACCAGACAGAATTGCCTCTAAGCACCTGATTCCCCATGTCCTAAATGACACAAACACTCTTAAGATGGCTTCAGAAGGGGCCCAAAAGGATTAGGAGCTTGTTTTCCTTGATGAGTCTACCCTAACTATATGTCACGGTGGCACTAATCTATCCCTATCTATTTCAAACAGTGTATTTTCTTCAAGATACATTATACTCCAAGATACATGTCCCATGAATTCACAATATTTGGGGTCATTCCGAGAATTCCAAAAAGTGAAAGGCAGAGTAAGGGGGTTTGATGATTATTGGTTGAATTGCTGCACATTTTGGCCTTCATTAAATCATCCAGTAGCCCCAGAGAGGCTGAAGTGAATAGGATCCCAAAAGATTTGGGGGTACTCACCTGAGCTCCCAGCAGGCTGCTGTAACAGGATCTGTCCCCCTATGTGGTGCTGTAAATACCCTCGTGAGGCACCTGCTGCACCACAGGTCACAACCCCACTATTGCCAGCCACGGTGAAGAAAGCTGAATTGGATTCATTGGGAGTGGTAGGTGTGAGGCGGACATTAGGCAGCACATTGCTGGCCAGGGGAACTGGAAGGTGGTGGAACTGGGAGAGCTGGTGCTGCTGGGGATACTGGGGCAGCTGGTAGGTTCCAGGCTGGTTACTGTAGTGATAGTATGGGGTCTCTAGGTTGGCAGTGGGCTCCAGCTGTTCAGGGTAATTGCAGGAGGTTGGAGAGTTGACACTGTGGAGTGCAATGAAACAAACAGATCACAGAACATATGCTGAAAATAACTGTTAAATCCTCCCTGGCTCCCAACTCCCAGCTGATACCTACTCTGCCTCCCCAACTCCTAAGCACAGAGCAAGAGCAGAGGAAGACATGTCAGCAGATGTGAAGTTGAGGCAATGGGGTGGCATCTTTAATACTCAAGTTTCCCCACCTTGCAACAGAACT